CAACTGCTTCATCTGCGCACACCAAGCTGCACGCGAGGACTTCGGTATAAGCTTATCGTACCGGATTTGAAGCGGTTCGCTCACCAACTTTGTTTCGAACGCAGAGTGGTGAATATATGGAACGGCCTGTCGCAGCACATAGTAGAGGCGAACTCAATGTCCGAATTTGAGAAGCTCCTAGACAAACACTTTGCAGAGGCAAAATATAGAGAGCGTAACGATAAATAAGGAGTATATGTCCAAGAGCGACGAATGATGCAGCTACAAAGAGAAAGATCTACTCGCTGCTTCGAACCAGTATTCAGTATTCACCGACAAGTGGCTGAGCTGTGAAATTAATGAGGTTGAGAACACTCTACCAGGTATGTCACTTCTCCGGAACAATAGAATAGGTAGGTGATGGGGAGTGATTATTTAGTACATAACAAGCCTTCGTTTTGAGCTCATAGATGATTCTCAAACGTTTGTCACTTATCTTCTTTTGTGCAAACTGTGGTGGAAGGACATCTACACATGCCTAGTGTCTGTAGCTCACCGTCCGCCCAAATCCATTCCGGAAATAGACCAAATATTAATATCGACCTTCCGTGTTGTGGTAAATCAGAAATACATCTATGTGCTCATTACAGGCGATTTCAACATCCAGGATCTGGAAACTTCGGCAACTGAGTGGGAACAATTCAAGGTCTATTTGCAAGAATTAATTTCTAGCACACCCCTATGCAACTACATTAAATCTCTTACCAAGTTCAGAATAGTGAACAAGCCATCAAGGTTGGACCTAGTGCTCACGAGCGAGGAGCTCATGGTTGACGGACTAAATGTATGCAGTCCTTTGGGTCGTAACGATCACGTGACTTTACTGTTCAATCATATTTGCTACGTTGAATACTCCGTTGCAGATTCCGTAAAGATGCAATCTTTTATGCATTATCACGCTCTATCCGCATTCGCTGGATATTCATGTTGAATGCACTCCAGTACTAGCCTGGGAAACATTCTTGGTAACCTGCACGTCACTAATCACTAAAGCATCAGAGCCTAAAGCTTTCCACCGTCCCATAAAACCAAAATCCTTTTAGAGAACCCGAGCACGAAATGTTATAATCTTTGGGGATCGGACATGGCGCGTTTACAAAACAATCCAAGCTCCGAAAATTGGACAGCGGACGTGGCTTTGCACAGTTACTCTGTGCAGTTTGTTTATGAAGCAGTTCTACACCAATAGGAGCTAGCGAAACGATTCCATTCGAACCCCAAGCCTCTGTACAGACATGTGAATAAACTTCGTAAGATGCAGCGCGGAATCGCACCACTCACTACGGTTCGTGGCCATACACACACGGCGAAAGAGGCTGCCAACGCCTTACGGTCCCCAGTACTCACCTACTTTCCAAGGGTGCAAGCCTAGAACGCTATTCTTGCTTCTGTCACTCCACCATATTTTATCCAGCATCACATTCACAGCATAAACGGTACTGAACAAGCTACTATCCTTGCGTACACACTGCCCTTCTGCAGCGGATAACATTCACCCCAATGCACTGCAGACCTCAACCATGCACCTAGCCGAACCATTAGCTGGATCCTTTCAGCGATGTCTAGACGAGAACATAGATCCAACAAAATAGAAGTGGGGTTTTATAACCCCTATTCACAAGGGAGGAAGTCGATCTGAACCTGTCAATTACTGCCCGGTAACGCTGCTCCCTGTACTTGTCAAAGCCATGGAAGCAGTCATTGCAGACGTACCGATTGGCTATCTGGCAAACTAACGGTGTCATTGCGCCGAAGCAGCACGGGTTTCGTCGATATCGAGTATGTATCACCAGTCTGCTGATAGCGCGCGACAATTGGAACGAAACGGTCGACGAGGGGACATGATTACTGAGTACTGGTTGGAAACAGCAAGAAGAGATGTCTCTGTGTAGCTGCATTTAATATCACTCAGGTACAGAGATCCGTTATGTTGGAGTGCGCTCCATATATTTATATCGGCTAAGTGTTTGTTCAGAAAGTTCTTAAATTCCGACACCGACTTTTGCCTCAACTACATGCCGCGGCAGGTTGTTCCATACGTTCACCACTCTCCTTTCAAAACAGAGTTGATGAGCGACCCGCTTCAACTCCGGTACCACAAGCTTGTACCAGTGTCCTCGTGTGCTGCTTATAGTGCGCAGATGAAGCAGCGGCCTCAACATGTGATAATCACCGAGCTGTACTATCCGGTGCGCCATGATGAGGTCAACTCGCAGTCGGCGGTAAGCTAGGGTGTAAAGCCCTAGTTTCTTATACCGGTCTTCGTACGGCACACCTCGTAAATTGGGAATCAGCCTGATGGCCAAATGCTGCACTCGCTCAATCTTTTCCACCTCACCCCGGGTGATATGACAATGCGCGGAAGCGCCATACTCTACCATTGATCACATTATTTAGACGAAGAGGCGAGTAGCAATCTCTTCGGACCAAGTGCTGAAGCTGCGCCTGAGCGCTCAAAGCATCCGAAGGTTGTTTTGGTACAGCCTATTCGTGTTGTCAATGGACTTTAGGTCGTAGCGTGAGAGCACACCGAGATCTCGCACGAAAGGCGCGGGATGCAACATTTGACCTGCCACAGTGTAGGTTAGACTATGCTCAAGCGTACCATGCCTCATGAATTACGACTTTACCGAGTTGATAGGAAGGTAGACCTCAGCAGACTACGTGGAGAGGCGGTCAAGGTTCTGCTGTAGCAGGTATTAGTCATTAGGTGCACGGATTACTTTCCACACTTCAACTCATCCGCAAACAACGCACACGGTGAACGGAGTAGCTGAGGCACATCGTTTACATAGATCAGAAAGGAAATGAGCCCCAATACAGTGTCTTAGGTCTCGCCACTGTTCAATGGATGCCAGTCGGTCAAATGGTTGTCGACCTGGACCCTCCACTTTCGACCAACAAGGAAATTCCTGATCCATTGCTGCAGGGAGCCGCCAACACCGCACACTCTCAACCTGTCAAGTAGCAATGTAGGATTCACCTTTCCAAAAGCCTTACTGAAGTCAATGTAAACGATGCCGACCGACTTGCCTTGGTTCAGCGCTTGCAACCATTCGTGCCACGTCAACAGTAGGTTAGTGATACACATGCGACCTTTCACAAGACCATGCTTTGTGGTTGTCAAGAGACTTTTCGACTGGAGAAGCTACAGAATACTCTTCTTCACGATCTTCTCGAGTGTCTTTGTCAAAACAGCTGTCAGACAGATCGGCCGGTAGTTATCCACTTTACCTGCATCAACACCTTTCGGCATTGGCTTTCCAACTGAGCATTTCTAGTCACCCGGTAATAAACCAGTGGATAGTGACCTGTTGAATAGCTCAGCTACAGAAGGCAAGATGATGGCCAATAGGGACTTGAAGATAAGTGGGTGGATTCCGTCCAGCTCGGCAGGCTTCGTCTCGTCAAGACTTGCCAGCAGCTTGCATACATCTTCAATGCTGCAATCCAGGCTGTCTAGTTCAGTGGGGGCGGACTTACGGACGCACTATCTCTTCTCGAGATTAGGAGCTGTCCATCTGGAACTTCCAACACCGGCACATTGCCTACAGGCTTCAAGTACCGTTTCACGTAGACGAAGATCCTCTTGGGAGCAGTTTTTGCGACGGCTGCAAGCTGTTAATGGTCGGTGGGGAATTCACTGCCATTCATTCTAGGCAGGTGCCACTCGTCCACATCCGCCTTCGATACGTCAACATCTACAGACTTAGAGCGCACTATCTGCAGACATGCTCTCAGGAACGTGACCTTTGTGTGTTGATACAGGACAACTTAGGTTGTTCCAGCTAGTCAGAACCCGCTTCAAAAAGTGGTAACCAGCAGGTTTGTCTCTTGTGGCGGGCATTCGGGAGTTTGTATTCAACCATCTTCTCTCTGATGCTCAATGCCTATATGCATCCCCACGTGGAATACGCAACGCAGGCGTGGCGCACTTAGCTAAAACGTGACGTTGCAGCGCACGAAACTCCCCAACGTCAAGCAGCAAAAAATGTCAAAGGATTTTGCCGCCTTCCGTACCAAGAACGACTGAGGACAATCGGCGTGTTCAGTGGATGCCACCGGCGGCTACGTGGAGGGTTCATATTAGTTTAGTAAATACTGAGCGACCCCACTCACGTATGCCGCCACCTACTTGAACTCAGTCCGAGCGCCAATCTGAGAGGTAGTAGCCTGAAACTGAGTCAACAATACAGTGGTCTTGACTTTGGATGAACATACTGCTCCCTCCGATTCTGCCAATTCTGGAACGCCCTTCGACACTCAGTTATTTGTGCCCCACCTTAGCTGTTTTCAAAAGAAGGTTTGGATATCGAATTTAGCTCCTCACACCTTGTTATGTGAACGGAAATTCTGAATATATCCATGCTAACTAGTTTCTTTGGAAATATGACCCACGTTGACGTGCATAAATCTGTGCGTAGGGGTGAGCAATCTGCTTGTTATCTACAATGGTTATTAAACATAACAACCTGTTATTTGCTTTTGTCTGGTACCATCTCACTCCAGGAACCCTCCCTTTCTTTAGCTCCACTGACACGTATTTTTTTCGGTCTATTTATGTGATATTTGAATTTCACTTTCTTCTACTACCAACCTGGGGAACATGTTAAGTCTGTGCTTTTTTACCCTTTAGAAAACCATTGTTCTAGCCTTTGTCTGTTCTACGCCTGCGCCCAACATTGTCTTTAACTTGCACTTAAGTATCCCATAGTATCCCATTCCACCACCTTTTGCATTTCATCTCGATTCTCTTTCACCCTTTACTTCACTACGCTATGCTGCGAACAATGCAACGATCTGCCTCCCTATTGTTTGTCTCTACTTGGTCGAGAGCTCTGAGCTCTTTGCGATTGATTGGTACATGGATGCGAGAATTTTGACTTCACAGTGTCTCCGTATGACATTTATGCCCTTATGTTCTTGACAAATCGAAAGTTCCCGTATAACTTCTTTTTTAGCCCAATCAAAGCAGACAGTGTCATATCACAGCTCAGTCCCGACTTCATCTTTGACCGGCTGCGGAAGTAAGTCGCCTCGGTAGTCCCGTTTTTCTCCTTTCTCGCTGCAGATAACCATTTCACTATGATGTTCCTTGGCTTGACATTTGTGTTCGGTTATCTCCGTACCCAGTGCGACAGTATGGACATTGTAGTAGCTCAATTACAATAGAAATAATCCTTCCCAAATATCTTTTGTTCCTTACAAATCGGTGTCAAAAGTTTGCCTGTTGCCTGCGCGCCTTGCATGCAGAAGCGATTATTTTGTTTCTTGAAAAAGTGCTTCTTTTTAACGACACTAGGTTTACAGTTGAATTATCGCTGTCATCCACTTTAGCTTCATTGAAGTTGACTAATTCTGCATATTGTGGCGAACAAAACTACCCACGGCTTTTCATATGCTTAACCACGTTTTTTCCCATGGTAAAGGTGTTTCGATTGTCAACTGCCAGTTGGTGGGCGTCCGCCCTTCCAACCCAACACATGTTAAGAGTACTCCGCGGACACCGTAGTCACAGCTAACTAATCTTCAGGTGCTCTCAACAGACAAGGTTTATTCCAACGAGAGCCACACAGTAATCTTGCACTCACAGCAACTATTTGAACCCCTCCGTTGACTCAGCAAGGGCATAGTCTGCTGATGGACGTGGTGATCTTTTCTGTAGTCTGACGACTAAAGGTTGTGCAAGTGTCCTTCTGGACACCTTTTATCCTACTCTGATTATTCTCTTCCTTAACGTTTTAACTCCATGTATGCTGATTTGGCAAAGACTGCTTGCATAGATACCAAGTGACCACCGTAACTAGTCTAGCGGTTTTCTCTGTGGTTGCTGATGATGCTGTGGGTTTAATCCGGATCTATCCACTACACACAGTTTGACTGACACTTGATTGTAATTGTGCGTTTGACTGATGTGGATACTTAATTAATCAATTAATGTGGATAATTAATTTGTCAAGAGTGTAACAGCGCCAATTTTCTTTCGACACTTATCCGTATCATTCGTGTGGTCCTTCGTTCTGATGCCGTGAGCTCACTGTGATTGGTTGTGGTCGCGAGTATTTAGCCCCCCAGGCATTGAGGGACTAGGCTGATGGTGTTTCACTTTCTCGCTCAACTTCATACTAAGGGTTAACTGCGGCATTCACACTCAGTACCCTTCGGCAGCCCGGAAGCGAATACCGCTGGGTAGCCCACTAGACACATGGGTCACAGAAAAGGTAGAGGACCTCAAGGAGTCAGTAACCACATAAAAGTTTTATGTAGAGGACATTGCTAATCGTAGACTCAAATGTGGACATCGCGTATGCTATAAACAGTGTACATCGGAATCTCACTGCAGTTTTCGACACTGAGCATGATAAAGCAAGAAGAAACAACATTATAACAGAATTTACTGAGCATGATAGTGGAATCTCGTATCTACAGACGCACCTACCACATGTAGGCAACAAAAGTTGCTTGGAAGGTTCGAGTTACGTGTTTCCATCGGAATCAATGAAACATCAAATCCGGAACTGGATAACGGTACTATGTACAAGTGAATAACTGAGCATATACAATAAATACCTCAACGGTTATGCTTCCAAACTCAGGACAGTTACAATGACAATCGTTTGGTCCGAGTCGACAAGTCCAGCTTCAGTGCGCGCTGTATGAAATCACACTACTAAGGTACACCACATGTTTATAAGATGGGTAGAGCGGTGAGATTAGTTGATCACCGGTTCAAAAAAGAATTCGAATTGGGTAAGCCTCAAGGGGGTGTGAAATTGGCCTGAGTCACAGTTGCACATAGACAAAGGAGGAAATGGTCAGACAGGCTCGTCCGGTGGGGACGAAGGTTCAGCGGACAGGTATAATCGATGAAGAGTGAGGGTCACCAAACGACCCTAATCGGTGCAGTGCAAAGTGTTGACGAACGTAAACAAAGTTAGACAAATGTCTAAAGGCAATTTAGGATCGTGGGAATATGAGATGATAACAATTTGAGGGAACGTAGGGCGGAACGAGGCGGAGATGGGGTTTCACGACAACATGGGGAAGTATAGTAGTAATCTTTGGTAGGGGAAAGGAATATGGTGGATAATTGGGATCGCGACTTCCGAATGTTTTCTACATCACTTGGTAACCATGTACTTCGATCTGATGGTCAACCTACCGTTATGCAATCTGGATAGAGCATCGATTGCATTTTAAGAGTTTCTACCGGATACAACACAAACTCTCTCTCGTCCGGATACTGTTTTATCCAGCCCACATCCCAGACACACCGGTAGCAGACGGAGTTCGAATTCTCTCCACATTACAATCCAGTGGTTATCCGTTGCAATTCGTAAAACGCCTCAGTGTAAGCCGAGGGAGATCGAGTGCCTGTGGTCCAAAAGAATTCGCGCTTCATTGGGTTACACTTCAAATATCACTACATCATGAAACTCACTGCCAACATATAAGTGCTTCACTGAAAATTGCTTACAATACAGCAGAACTGCGGTTGCTCGTGTCAGCCAAACCCCTGCTTATGTGTTCTATTAAGGCGTCGAGGACGAGGTGGTGCGTTCTTCATTGTTTTCACACATTTTCCCGTTGCTGTGGAGACATCTACTTTGGGCGCACTGACCGAAGTTTAGGTGTCAGAATCTGGCTATGCGATCTGTGACTAAGGAATCGGGTGAATCGATAAGCTGAGCTGCCTCGGCAGTCACAGGACATTTGCTGGTCACTCACCTACAAATCGCCGTCTTGATGCACAGTCAGAAGCCCCACTGTGATGTTACATGGCGAGCGAATAGAAGTGACCCCGGGTCGACTATTTGTTTGCTCGCGTCGATAGATCCAACTCGATAGCAGCAAGTGTGGACTTTTCATCCGGATTGGCAAGAACAGTACTCCAGTAATTGCCACTAGGGGATCGACCGAATGAAATGAGCCAACTTGTTAGTGGCTCTGGTTGATTAGGAGTATAAACTGAGCTTGTTTTTTCCACAATATAATATATTGATCAAGGCTAAGGTTTACTTTTTGCTTCACGTAGGGTCGCTACGACGGCCACATCTTCAGGCTGCTGGAAGCCATCATTATTTCTCGGGTGTGGCCACAGCCTGTGTACAGGAATAGCTGACTGACTGTCTACCGTGGTAGCGCGAGGCGCGATAGCTAGCCGCTGGTTGGCCACAAATCGATCACCTATGTTGTTCGTACTATAATCGTTATCGTTAGTACGTTTGATATGAATACACGAAATGTTTATCTCATGACTTTATTCTTCTGATTTTCTTATTTGAAACTAGGGAAATTCCCTGTTTCAGATGTCATGTAAATAATAGTCGTATACTTCGGTGCTGTCTCTACGAGTTCCGGCTCTTTTGCACCCTAGCCACGTCAACCGCCCAGTCTTTGCTAATCCCTTTATATTCCCATCGACCTTTCCTTCATTCTTTCTCCCCATGTCCTTTTGTAGCATCATGTTATCAATTGGGTCTCTACGACTCAACGGTTGCTTTTCTGAGCATGTTTCCTCAGAGTAGTTTCTATCTTTTCGTCTTTGCTTATTGCGTCAGGTACTTGTGTACGTTATCTGGTTTCTTTCATTTTCCGAGCCGCCTCCATTCTTTCCTTCAGAGTTTACGATTCAACACCGATTGCCGCGAGCTCCCCACACCCGTTGGTCAGCCATGACCTCAGTGGTTTCACCCCTCGGCTATCAACCTCTCGCGTAAATTCTGCAACAATTAGTGCTCCCAATTCTTGCGCGTCATCTCCCTGCTCTCGTGCGCCATCTCTCCATGCAGACTCTTCCGCAACCAATATTGACACAACGACGTGGCCGAATCAGCTGCTGTCGGAACTGAATTGCATGCTGCTTGATATGATTTATCTTATTTTGCATCGCAGTCGTCAGGTTGGTCGCCTAGAGGAGGTCATTCCCACCTACCTGAATGCTCCCAATTTGCGGCTTCTAGCCATGGTACGTCTCTTGCTTCCCTTTCATGGTATAACTCAACGCTTGCGAATACATTGGCCGCTTCATGATATGCACCGTGTGGATTGCTCTCTCTCTCTCTCTCGGGATCACGCACTCAGCTTCAGATCTATTGGACACACTGGTAATTAACTAGTTGGGTTGGCATTGCGACACCGTGAACTCCAACTCAACAGAGTTACCACTTTTCGGCCGATGGCTGAAAGGATACAGCGCTTGCCTTCTAATCCTGCGTAAGTGCGGGTGACTTGGCAGCATACCAAACCCACGCGTGATTGGTGATGGTCACGTGACAGCGGAGCATCATCCTGATACATTTATCGTTCTTCGAACTTGCTTGCAGCAAATGATTCCACTTTCCTCGTCCTGAAACGCCACTAAATGACATCATCCTTGTATCAGGTTGGACGAAATTAATCGCTTTATTTGTTGACAGCAAGAGGTGGAATTTGAGTGTAACGTTCACTGGTCGGACGTTTAGTGACGCGTGGCGAATGATCCTAAACCAGAACAAATTTGGATCGCAATTATACATGTAAATTCGACCAATCTCGATCGTGCAGAATCCCGGTATATCGCTGTCAACAACAGGATGCAATTAAACGGGCGGGGAGGAAAAGTGCCGTCCAAACCATTGTTCAAAGCATACAGTCAGAGGACAGGTGAATAAAAGACAAACGTGTGAAACTATTAACTGACACAGTGGTGAATCGTTGACGGTCCAATTACAGAGCGTGGGAGGGGTTAGAGGTGAAAGTGAAGGACAACATCCATGATCAAATGGATGACCTACAACTCTCTAAGGGCATGTGGTAATAATGTTACAACGCCATGGAGGCAGGGACATCAGACCAGGTGCATGAAGCATCTGTTGCAAGCAATCCGAATTAAAATGAGGTGCAATATTGCTAGCGTGAGGGAAGGAAGGCGTAAACAAGTAGTGAATCTATGGACCAAGGTGTGGACATATGGAGCGGTTAGCAATGCAAGCACTCGAAGAGGGACATAAGATAGGGTGATCAAACACCCGGGTTTTGTGAGGCCACGGATTATTGTACGAGCGGTCTCCGAAGCGACAAAGAAAGATCATTGAGTGGGCTGAAAAGTGCTGTCCAAATAACAACCGGGCCACGTGGACTCCACGGTTGCAGCACAGCTGCGGCCTATCCCAAGTCTCCATCCAGCCAAAAGGCATGTATCAGCCCGATCAGGTCTCAGTCGCTTTTATCATGCTCTTCTGCCGTATCATCAGCCAGCCACCTCAGCATTTCGCTCAACTAGATGGAACGACAGTATATGATTGACATCCAAGTATGCGGCCAATGAGCATACGACGGCACGACCCAGTCATAGAGTCTAACAGTCACTCCACTGCGTTACCGCAATGTTTTCCTCTGAATTTACGTTGACTAACCTGGTGCTCCCACCAGTGATAATGCACAGGCACCGACGACCAGCTTCTTCTTAATGTCCTCTGTACGCGATGGCCATGTTTTGACTAATACACCGGTCGTACAGCGCCGTTGTACGATTGCGTTTGACTGACAGGCTGATATCATGTTTTCCCCACAGATGGCTGAAAATTGGAGTCATGGCGGTTTTGCCGCTTTCCACCACGATCTCCTCATTGGTGTCGTCACGGCAGGCGTTACAACAACAAGGAGGAGCGAACCACTCAGTCACTTTGTGTAGGTTGCTCGGTGACGGCATGTCGAAGAGTGCAGCGATCCATGTTGTTTTATTCAACAGAGATTTTACTAGAACCGTGTCCAACCTCCGGAGAGTCACATTGTTCGCGTACTCCAAGTTTCTCACTTTGTCGCCCGGCAGAACTTCGCTCCATAATAGTTTGAGTGAGTCATTTAGACAATAAACTTTCAAAGGAATGTGTCAATGGGTAAGGTTAGATCGTCTACCTGTTGCAGGGCGTTCAGGATTCAGTTTCCCATAAACACATATTGAAATCCAGGAGTCACGACAAAGATATTTCAGTCTGGAAATAAGTTTCTCAGATGTACTCTGCGAGGCTAGACCGTGTCACGAACAACCACTTTGGTGGATCGACTGTATGCGTGTCACTGTCCCAGCATCCAGGAGGTTAGAGCACTCTCGACTGGGGCGGAAGCCATTGTGATTTCAAGTGACTTTACACCAACCGCGACTGGGAAGTCGCCTCAACACGGTGCTTGTGAACATTTTTGAGTCAGTGGCTGTGCGGTCACTGTTTTGATAATTTTCACCTGAAGCCCATTCGGGTTATCACTGACTTCGATGAGCATCGTGCTGGGCGTTATGCTTGTTTGTGTTGGCAAGCGGTGTCTGCCAACACAAAGTTGTGATCACAAACCGTTGGGAGATACCGATCGCCATTGTACGTCGATATCCTTCATCCCAGAAACGGCATTCCAGGTTGTCAACCGCATTATATCACTAACAGTGTTAAAGACGTCTGCAGATGTGGCTGGGGGCTGTCGATAAAATTCACCTTTCTTCGCTTGTGACGCCGCAACTGGTTGGGGTATACATCGGAACAGCACCTCACACCCTTCATTTTTCAAGCACCGTAACAGTCTAAGTTTATGATTCTCCTTAAGCAAGTTGCTCTGATATCCCTTCTGGTCTTTACTTTATCTAAAGCAATTAGTTCCCTCCAGAAATTTGAAAACCGCGGAAAGAAGATGAACACTGGTCAATGCATGCATTTGTATTGTCTACCTAGATATAGCTAACGTTGAATGTGACCAGACATGCTTGAAGTGCAGAATGAGTGACGGAAATTCACACCAATGTCCATGGCAGCCTTAGGCTGGCGAAAATTGCTTTTTGAATACACAGAGCTTTATCTTGCTTATTGCGACCGCCTCAGCAAACCGAAGGAAGCGTGCATTAGCGTGACACAACACAGCTGTGAACGCTGAGCTCAACTCCATCCGTTGACCCGAGACCAATAGGTGTTTACCTATCGAGGAAGCCGGCGGTCTACGCGAGCACTGGGTTGGTGTTGTAGGGCTTTGGGCAATTTTGTGCTGATCGCATCTTAGCACATGTTCCTTTATTAGGGGAGTTAGAGTTCTATCAGTTCTGTCTATGTAACTGCTTCCGCAATCATACACGAATTGGTATACACAGTGTGAGTTGGCTCCGATAGGCTGAAGTTCGTTCGTTGGAGGGACTGGCAAACTTCGGATTCGGCTGATTACAACAACTTGAGCAACGGAGTAACTTCCCTGCGTAGCCGATCTTAGTAGCTTGGTCCTCTTTAGCTTTGCAAAATCACCTCGGAAAGGTAACTCGATATCAACGTTCTTCTTGGCAACCATGTGTACCAAGTCCTTCGGCCTTCGCAGCTGGCTTCGTTTCTCGATAGATATTCTTAAAGTAGCCGTTCGGCACCAGTGCTTTTGTAATTAAGGCTAGATCATCGGCCAGACAGTCATCCGAACAAATTCGTCTGGCACGACTAACTAGGGTCTCCAGAAGTGTCCGCTTAAACCGCACTGGTGTGAAGCTGGTGACGTTCAAGCACTGGCCGGACGAAGTTGATTTTCGGTAAACGGACTTCTTAATCAATCCATTCTCTCTGTGACTGATAACGACGTCTAGATATGATAGGCAATCATTCCGTGCTACTTCGCCGATAACCCGTGAGTTTGCATGTGCACTGTTAAGGTGCTCTACTAACTTTGCGAGCTGCTTCTCGGACGAACAAAAAGCCAAGATACCATCAGCATAGCGTTTGTAGTAGGGCACCTGGGCTATTTCTGTCAAAATGCTTCTTTCTATCATCAACATGAATGAATCCGCGTGTACAGGGCCTAATGGGCTACTCATTGCTACGCCGTCGATTTGGTGATACAGCGTGTTCCGAAAATGGAAGTCAATTTTCTCCGTGTACAATAACATTGTTTCACTCAGCAATGCAGTCAGATTTGGTAATGAACAGCCAGAGTTTTCAGCTAATTCACATACGTAGTCAACTGTCTGATGTAGTGGGACGTTGCTGAATAAAAATTCGTGGAACATTGGCTATTGCATCACTGACGGGGCATGTCCTAAAAAACTGTTAGCAAATGATTTTGTGCGCCCCATCGATGTGTGCATTCGTAACCGGATCTCACGCGTTGATCCTGCGTTTAACTACACTGATAACATCTCTATACAACTTAGGCTGTGAATCAGATGTACTGAACAAATAATATAATTATGTAGTTTAGACAACCAAATGCACACATTGTTCCTTCAGCTATACCAGTTAATCGGGGACCCACCTTTGAAGAAAGTGGGATTTGTTACTGCAAATGAAGCGTCACATGCTTCATAAAACACGTCCCGATGAACTCTTTCTTTTCAACACAGTACTTCCCCCAACTGAAGCATCCCGAGCTGTGGAACAGTTTCAATCCTAGGACTTCGAGCGTCAGCGCATTGCAAGAGAAGGCTTCCACTTTAAAACGAATAAGTGACTCTGGCCCCCCTGGTCTTCCTCGTTGCTCTTCCACGTTGCACCGTCAGAACAGCACGTTTAGTGGGGGACATTCGACATTCTTCTTCCCCGATCCCTCAATTGCAACGAGCATACCGTCACAGCGATTCAAACCGTCAAGAGGCTATAGTCAGCGCAGTCGAACGGAGGAGGATTTGATCGATTCCCTTCACCGCCTCCAGAACATACAATTTGCATTTTGGAATGATCAACTCAAAACATCCTCTGAGGATGAAGTAAGTCGTTATTGCTAATTGCATTCCCTTTATCTTACTGCTTCTGTCGTGTGCCGATTTCTTCCGCTGCAATTCACTTTATCCCGCCTGTCGTTGCATTCTCTGTTCCCATTCTCTCCATTACATTAAGTGAACATAGTCTACATGTCCGCCATCTGCCAATGGTCTCAGCTCTCCCCCTGGTCTCCTGATTTGCGCAACTACTAACAACTATCAAGCGTGAATAGTGCCACGAATCCTAACCGCACGACCCCACCCAACATTTTCTCAGACCTAGTTTCATGAACATACCACGCGGACCCATTGTAATGTTAGGGAGACGTGTTGCACATACATATTTTGAAAAACATTCTTAGTTGCCGATCTGTTTCTTTCAGCTATCGATGTTAGTGACATTTGTTTAAGCACATCATTCCGCTAATTTTCTTGGTTGCTTGTGGTCACTGTTTTTGCTCTCGGATCGCAATGCCACTTGGCTGCTAACAGTCTATCTTTTTGTTCGTGCGTGTCTCTTATTGGTTCCTTTGTTGATCACACTACATTAGCTTCATTTTGCTTGCATGCTTTTAGCAATATGGTTGGCTGAAATGTCTTTTAGTAGCTTCTCTTCAGCCCATTCTTCAAACTGTTTAGACAGACATGATTCAATGCATACGATTCTTTCTCGGCACCTCTTTGGAGTTCTTCTTGCCGTCGTGTGGTGAAGGAGTCAGCTGCGACACAACGTTTTCTGGAGACGGCTTTTTGAACAAACATGTCAATCTCGTTTGAGCAAATGCGCACTACTTCATCAGCAGCAGTTGCAGTTTGAGAAGTATCAGCAGCAATTGATCGGGTTGCTTTCACGGAAGCTGAACATCCAAACCGAACCCACAGCAACGGTTGTACGGCCATCCGTTGACGCCATTGCAGCATCAATTACAGGATTTGTTTTCGATGGACTGAGTAGAGTAACAGTTGACTCGTACTTCCAAAAATACGAAGATATTTTTCGTATGGAATTGGCTGACTAAGTGATGCCTAGAAAGTTTGGTTGCTGTTGAGAAAACTTGGTGCGGTTGAACCTGAACGATACACAAATTTCGTTTTGCCAAAGATTGCAAGGAACTTGAGTTTTTATGAAACTGTGAAAACACTGACGAAAATTTTCAGTGAGCGGTCATCTTTGTTCAGCATCCGGTATAATCGTTTAAAACTGGTCAAACGGGATGCTCATGATTTTGTCACACACGTCGGAATTGGGAACAGCGAATGTGAACGGTTCAAATTGGGATCCATGACAGCCGATTACTTCAAAAGCCTCGTATTTGTTTGCAGCCTTCAATCGCATACCGCTGGTTATGTGAGAACTCGCATCCTTCACAAGTTGGAGCAGAACCCCCAGTTAACATTACAAGAGATCGCGTTTGTATGTCAGAGGTTGATCAACCTGAAACATGATACCAAAATGATCGGAAACGCTGACTCAAGCACGGAACCACAAATTTGTTGCACGGCTGTTCAAATTCAAAATGGGAGTCGTAATGTACCAAACCACAAGCTCCCTACTGCATGCTGGAACTGTGGCGGATGGCATTTTGCACGATTCTGTAGCTACAAAAAGCACCAGTGTCAGAAGTGCAAGCGTATGGGTCACAAAGGAACGCACTGTCACGCGACGCATAATTCCAGGAGAGTGCACAATCTAAGGTTTTACGCGAACTCCGCGGTTTTGCGGAGCGAAAACAAAGGCCATTCTCGCAGTCTTTCGGACGGATCTTTTTAGACAAGCGTACGTATTTGACAGTAAATCTCCATGACGTTCCGGTATCTTTGCACTTGGATACGGCGTCTGATATTACAATCATTTCTCGAACAACGTGGATGAAAATCGGTAGATTTGCAGTTAAACCCATCAGACTGACAGCCCAAAATGCATCCGGCGAACCACTGGAGCTGGACAGAAAGATTGATTGTAATGTGAAACTCAACGACACGCTCATTCACCTGAACTTGCTCTACGTACAACTAAATCGTGTGTACAAACGATAATGTGTATTTCCGCTACACATTTGTATCGACACATCCAGATCATAGCTTTGTTGACTAAATTACGCAAACTACGCTTGTGTTTTCCCATCCGAACTTGGACTCTGCACAAAAATGCAAGCAACACTTACGCTGCGTCCTGAAGTGAAACCAGTGTTTCGACCTAGACGTTCGATTCCATACGCGTCACAACTTGTCGAGCAGGAACTTGATCGATTACAACAAGCTGGTGTAATTGAAAGAATCGCTTTCTCTCAGTGGGCTGCCCCCATTGTTGTGTGGCTACTAACACTCTATCCTTTCGTTCGTGCGTGTCTCTGATTGGTTCCTTTGTTGATCACACTTCATTGGCTTCATTTTGCTTGCATGCTTTTAGCAATATGGTTGGCTGAAATGTCTTTTAGTAGCTTCCCTTCAGCCCATTCTTAAAACTATTTAAACAGACATGATTCAATGCATACGATTCTTTCCCGGCACATCTTTGGAGTTCTTCTTGCGGTCGCGTGGTGAAGGAGACGCTGGGACACAACGTGCAACCGACGAACATCGTGATGTTCGCCGAAACGGTGTGATCTGCCCAGCTTGACCACTTTATTTCACTTACCCAACTTTGTTCCAAGGGCCGAGGTGCGATGATTTCATGATCCTAACAACCAGCCGAAGCGGAGGAATCGGAACTATATAGCTCTTGACCAAAATGGTCAGATCAGGATGCTGTTTTGTTAATGGTTGCAAGCTAGGGATTGAACGCAAAGTTTCCGCCGTTCGGCAACCCTATGCGGAAAGAAAGGAAGCTCCATGTAGCTATTTTAAACTCTCATTTAACAATTGCTTTGCCTCGCTGAGGCCTCATTTGTTCAGACACAGTGTCAGCAAGAAGAATGCACCACTGAGCTGATTGGTTGGCAAGAATTCGGATTTGGCGATCTATCAAGCATCTTCGGTCCTGGTTCCGAAGCATCTCCACTACGGTCTGTTGACAAGCCCTAGTTGGTTTCTGTCAGTCATGCTCCGCGGTCTCGTACTGCTGCTTTGAGCAACGCTTGCTAACAATCGGTAATAGGAGCTTTGTCCTATCTTGGCTATCGACGCATAATCTCGAAAGCGTGAGCACGCGCTTTCTTCCAAGGCATCCGTGCAGTAGATAGTGAAAAAAACCCCAACGATACCTTTATGCCATATATGAAACAGCACAGTGATGTTCCGCGGAGATCTGGCTGAAACATGTATGCTACTTTTTATTCAGCCAGTGAAAGCGCAGCGTCAGTAGAATCTTACATAGACCGTCTTTGGGGTTTGAAACGCAGTAACTATCGCTACTCTTTAGTCATAATGGCTTTGGCTAGCTGGACCCATCACACGAGAGCATTCTGCAGAATACTGCCAAGGCATAACCATCGAGTAAGAACATTCCTGCTTGCCACCGATGAGGCAGTATGCATTCGCCTGACAAACCCGGATTTCTTTGTCCAGATGAATCTGGTATACGCACTACAACCTCTGTGGCCGACCACCAGATGGGAAGGAAGTGATGGCACTCCGCAAACCCACCTGACTTCAATCATGTGATCAGATGACTGCCATCATGATCACAAGTCAACTTATCTAATCAGTTGTTTCTTTCTTATGCTGACAATTACAACCGACACCCTAGTCTATATTAATGTATAAGTCTGATGAAGTATTACTCGAAAACAAGTGTTTTCTTAAAGCTTCCTTTTTTGTTTCTCTTTCTGAACTTATCACTTAATAAGCTACTGGCTGCGCGAACCAGATTGCTTTGTGCCGTTAGTGCGTTTCGTTCGCCTCGCATTTCGCTCCTCCGCAAGAAACGGAAACGAGGCACTGGGCATCCGAGTCACTTAAACTTCCAATTAAATTACTGGGACACGCGCAGTCCAACTCATGTCTAGCGTGTTGGTAGCATTGAAACTTGCCGCTCCAATGTTGCGATTCTTGCGATGGATGGTGCCGCGAGTTGGACATTTGCATTCTAATTTGTGTGCCTCAGAACTACCGATACTAACAGCTACTACTTCTTTCAAATTCCTTTGGCACGTTCACATCATTCATCCCTTTCCACATTCCTAGTCCGGATCCCCTCGCCCTACTCTGTCCAAGGATGGCAGTTTGAACTTCCACATAGAATTCACTCATCCATTCGATCAGATGTAGAGCGAGGTAAGCGTTCCAGCGGACCGAGGTGAATCCGTCGTGATGGCAATGCTCCAGAAGAACGGTCTAATCGTTGGTGTCGACCACAGGTGAAGCAGTTTGATCAGACAGTGACGAATTTGCTGTCATCGATCTCTTTGTTGGCTTTACTGCGAAATCCTGCACGATAGATAAGGCAGGTTTCCGGTTGGTCCGTGATTGCCTAAACACATACGCGTTCTATGGATGGTACTGGAGCAACGTGCTCGTAGTGCGCGATAGCTCTAGCTGTGTTACTCGGTTTCAAGAACGCGTTCGACTTAGCCTATTGCCTCGTTCCGTTGGACCTAATTGCCCACAAAGATTTTCGTACGTGCTAAGTAAATATTTGACGACTTTTACTCAAATCCTCAGTTGCATCCGTTTACGCAGTAAATTGTCGGACAACTTTCTGGGTGCTTTTCGTTCATGTGACTCCGTTGTTCTATTTATATTCATTCTCACCACAGTGCCCGTCATAACCTCTTTTCATGTGGTAAATAAATAAATAAATAAATAAATAATTTATTCTCGAATACTTCGAGGCACACCAAATTTAGCATGATCAAAATTTACAAGCGATTGTTCCGCAATGGGCAAGTTGCTTCGCATGAAGTGCGCTGTTCGCACAAGATATAGAAGTTACCGAAATTGCGAATGCATTGGTCAAGAACGGAATCTTGAATGATGAGGCAAAATTCTGGGATCAACAATGTGTAAAAGAGTAACAAATAGTGGAGACGGAAGGTAGAAACAGGGAAGTGTCTTTTTAGTGTACA